TTGTATCCTGTACTGGACATCTAGGGGGTTGTGGAAAGGAAGGCACAGTTCAATCAGAAGACTCAGTATTGGGGCCAGCCTGGTGACATAGTGGTTATGTTTGCACACTCCACTTCGGTGGCCCAAGGTTTGTGGGTTTGGATCCTGGGCGTGGACCTACACACTGCTCATCAAGCTGTGGCAGCATCCCATATACAAAATAGGGAAAAATTGGCACAGATGTTAGCTCAGGGCAATCTTCCTCAGCAAAAGAAAAAGACGACGACTCAGTATTGTCAAAGACTCAGCTTTATTCATTCTTTCTATTATGCACACAGAAGAATATGTGATGTGATAAATATGAAAATAATATAACCCCTCTCCCCCTACCAGAGGCTTCCCGTGTGCCCTTTCTCAGTTGCACTGCTCTCCATTCCCACAGAGCATACTTCTGAGGGAGGTACTTATCCCTCTCATGATGACAGAGGGTCATAGTCGGAACATTGGTTATGGCTGTGTGCACCTACAGAAAGTGAGGCATGGCAGGCTCCTCACCTCTGCCCCCGTGACCCCAGACTGTTGATTGAAATGATCTATTCACAGATCCCCACAGACAGTGAACTCGAGGACAAGGATTATGTCTTTTTGATCCCTTTCCCAAGGGCCAAGCATAAGACTTGGCAAGAACCAAGTGCTAATTAATATTTGTTCTGAAAACCGAATTTCCTCCCTAAAAATGGAAGTTGCAGGAAGGGGTTGGACTCTGCTCTGAGGGCCCTGGTAGCTCCATTCTTGTCTCCTATAGTGGCTTTTAGCAAATTCATTTTGTTGAAGTCATGATTATGCTTGGGCTGTCAATGGCAGCCATTTGGTCTGAGTGTGTGTGCCCCTTCACAGACACGGTGGCCATTAGCAGGTACACTGCCAGACTCTCCATGAGGCTATCAGTTGTAAGGTTGCTGTTTCTCAGAAACCACTCTTTTTTTGTGTGAGGAAGATTGGCCCTGAGCTAACATCTGTGGCAATCTTCCTCTACTTTGTATATGGGACGCCACCACAGCATGGCTTGATGAGTGGTGTTTAGGTCCATGCCCGGGATCTGAACCTACGAACCCCAAGCCGCTGAAGCGGAGCACACGAACTTAACCACTATGCCACCGGGCCGGCCCCTAGGAACCGTTCATATTACTCACCAGATTTCGTTCTCATTTTGACAATTGTGAAGGCACCGAGTATTGGTCGAACTACTGAAAGATCACCCCTCTTGAGCTTGATCCCAAGAAATGAACTTGTAAGTGGTCTTCAGTCCCAGACAGGCTGGGCTTATCTAAATGGGGTGGAGTGTCTCTGATAGCACCTTCTCCCGAGAGGGATCAGTGCCAAAACCTTTGTTCTTTCCTGGACTGTTTTGTTCTCAGAAACAATGCTGCTTTGATTTCTCCAATGGGAGCTGGTGCTCCAATTTCCTTAACTGGAAAGAAGTGGAGACTTCATTTCCTGCCTCAGCCCGCCGTCTGATTGTCCTGGCCGGTATGTGTGCTCCTGCCTGTGTGCAGACATGCTCCACATTTATCTCTCCTCCTGTTGCTTCCGGCTTGGGGTGGCTGCTGAAGCAGTGTGAAGGAGCACTCTTGGGCCAAGGAGGTGGGAGAAGGGAGCACCACCATATTCCTTGACACGAGCAATTAAGTGAGGGACAGATGCTGGGCCTGGTTTAGTGGATGTTAAAACTTCGCTTCAGTAGCCTGCAACCCCTTGTTGGTCTAGTCTGAACTCTCTGGCATTGGAACCACGCTCATCCTTCTTTTTCATGGTTCACAGAAGTCTCAGAACTCAGATTTCCACCCTTCTCATCCTTCAGGAAGACTCAGGGACTCGCCCTGCTGGAATCTCACCTTACACAGCTGACCTTGTCCAAAACGCCTCTTCAAGGCAGCTCTGAAGCTCCCAGTTGTCACACGAGCTGGCAGTGTGCTCCCAATGACTGTTGTGCTGTGGCCTGTGGCTCCCTGTTCCCTGCAATGGGGACAGCAAGTGCCCTACAGTCGCTTGGCCCCATGGAATGGGGTCTAAGAAGGGGGAGAGAGTTTGGCCTCTGGAAGGAGCTGGGACCTTTCATCCATGGCTTTTTAAAAGGAGAGGAGTCCTGCATCAGGGCAATTGTTGGCAGGTCAGTAGTTTTGATGGTAGGAAGACATGGCAGCCCAGAATTGCTTCTCAGTGAAGTAGAAGCTGAGTCCCAGGCCACTGTGGCTGAGGAGGCAGGACAATCCTTGGTTGTCAGCAAGGGGGCCTGTCTCAGATTGTGTGTCAGGGCTCATCAAACTTTAATGGGCTAATGAGTCACCTGGGGATTCTGATCCAGTAAGTCTGGAGTGAGACCAGATATGTTGCATTTCTAGCAAACTCCCAAATGACACTGGTCCAAAGACTACACTTTGAGTAGCTAGGTTGTATATCATTACAAATGCGACCTTGCTGAGGGAACATCCACCATTTTTTTTTCACTGGGGCTGAAAGGCCTGACAAGGCAATTTCACCAGCTGGGGCTGGGGTGTGGAGAGACGGGAAGGGGTAGGGAAGAGTCAGAAAGGCTCAGGGAAAGAGCAGAAGATGTGAAATCGTTATTTTGAAGAGTGGGAAAGTGAGTACACCAGGGAGGTGGCACAGTCTGGTGGCGCCCACTTTGAAGGATCTGGGCCCGCAGAAGAAAGGAGGAACAGAAGTGATTGGAAGGCGCTGGTGGGAAGCGAGGTGGACACGGGCCACTCCAAGCCCATGGGAATGAGAGGAAAGTCAGCAGGGGAAGTGATGACATCAGGGCATAGCCAGGTTTCCTTCAGAGCAGAAAAGTGACAGGAATGTTCAGAGAGAGATTGAGGACACAGGAGCATTTGCTGGTGATAGACTGTAGGACTCAGAGGGTGTGGAGGAAGGGTTTGAGAGAGCGGGGAGGGCGTATTGGGACAGATTAGCAGATGTATGGAGAAGTTCGGAGGTGAGGGTCCAGGGTGGATGACTGGGGACCCTGGGGCTTCTGGTGGGCTGAGGTGGCAATGATGGGAAGATGGGTGACCAGTTCAGGCTGCATAGAGTGGAGACGTTGGGGGGTGATGCATGCATCCTTTCTTGGGGATGATAGAAGGGAGGTGGCATAAGAACCATAAGAGAGACGTTACTCCAGGAACAGGAGGCTGGGGTGCCCCTTTCTGGGGCCCTGTTGCATTGTGGCACTGGGGCACGAGGCACGTGGATGCGACCTTGTCTCTCCGTGCACATTGTTATTGATGTTGCTTTTTTAAAGCAATGTCATTAGACAGAGCAGTGCGTCCACATCACACTGGTGGCTCAGTGTTCACTGCTCAGCATTTCCAAAGATAAAGCAATAATTGTGTTTTGAGTCCTAAATATCATATATGCCTGAGTACGAGGTGGCCTGTGTTACAACATGACCCCGTTCCCACCGTAAAGGTTCTCTCACTGCCCAGAAGGGTTTTGGTTAACTTAAATTTATAAACTTTTGGGATGTAGGTGAAACAGTTCAATGCCTACTAATAATATTGAATTTATTAATTTAATTACAAATGCACATTTAAAATCAGATATAAAATAAAATATTGATTAACAACCAGTGCTTTTCTCCATTCACATTTCATAACGTAATTTTATTCAAATTCATCCCAACATCTTTGACCAGACATCTTGATCTGAGCCACTTTCCTAATCATCTAACTCGGCTTTGAAGAGAACATTCTCTTCCCTTCTGTGGCATTGTCTGAGATCCAGGCCTGAGAATCTGTGTTTCAGCGGGAAACGGGTCTCCAAGCTCCAACTCCTTGTGTGTATCCCATTGGGACAATGCCTTTCCATTTGTCCAGAAGGCGGGTATTTTCCACCTCCATTTAGCGTATGGGTTTCTAAAGTGGTCCTCAACATGCCTGTTTCTAACTTTTGCTGACTCTTTAGCTTGTGTGATCACGTCTCCTGGAATACTGATTAAATCTGTGTTCAATTTCTTTGTGCTTTTACGGTTTGATTTTTTTTTTTTTTGATGAAGATTGGCCCTGAGCTAACATCCATGCCCATCTTCCTCCACTTTATATGTGGGATGCCTGTCACAGCATGGCTTGATAAGTGGTGCATGGGTCTGCACTCGGGATCCGAACTGGCAAATCCCAGGCCTCTGACACAGAGCACACAAACTTAACCGCTACACCACCGGGCCAGCCCCTGATTTTGTTTTTTACACCAAGCTCATCAAGGGGCTTCCATGAACATCGAAACCCAGCATTGGTTGGGATCATTCCAGGTTAATGTGTCATCCTCAAGCAAAAAAAAGTAGTTGAGAGGGCCTTGCACAAGTGGAAACGAATTGTGAGAGCTAAAATGTCAGTCCACTCTCTCTGTCGGAGGTAATTTCGGGATGAGAAACTGTGTGGGGATCTATGGTATGAATTACCATATTTTCTTTTAATTTCCCCTCCTTTGCAAATCAGCTCCAATTTTGACCATGTCTAATAGAAAACATATGGGCTCTCGAGGTGTTCCAACTCTAAATCCTGGCTCTTCCAAACACAAGCTGTGTGACTTTGGATGGCGGCTCCATCCCCCTCACCCCCGATTTCCTACTGTCTAAGTAGGGATAACAATGTCTGCATCTCAGGACTGCTCTGAGAATCGGACGCAGTAATGTATGCCACGGGCCAGGCACACAACTCAAAAAAGTCAGCCTTTTTTCCTGTTGATTTTTAAGAGCTTTTTGTGGTTAACCCTTTATTGTGAGTATGGCAAATATTTTTTTGGTTTGTCCTTTGTTTGTTTATTTTGAGCCAAACAGAATAATAGGCAAATCCATTAATATTTTTCCTTTTTTTCCTTTTTAAACGTTTTATTTTTCCTTTCTCTCCCCAAAGCCCTCTGGTACATCGTTGTATATTTTAGTTGTGGGTCCTTCTAGTTGTGGCAGGTGGGATGCCGCCTCAGCGTGGCCTGATGAGCAGTGCCATGTCCGTGCCCAGGATCCGAACCAGTGAAAGCCTGGGCCGCCGAAGCAGAGCACGTGAACTTAACCACTCAGCAACGGGGCCAGCCCCTTCATCAATATTTTTCGTTATGGTTTCTGATCTTCTGTTGTTTATACAGAAGGGGAGTTCAAGAAGCTTATGTTTCAAGACCCCCGCCCCTGCTGGGACCCCTTTCAAGGTGCTGGACCTAATTTTGTATTTGTAATTTTGGATTCTTTTTCTTAAAAGGGCTTCTCAAATTATATAAACTTCAGGCCCCACAAAATCTGCAACTGCCCTTGATGCCGTGCTTAGGAAGGTCCCGCTGCCCCAAATTATGAAAATTTTTAATAGGATTAACTTTACATGTTTTCTTTTGACATAACTTTTCAGTGCTAAAGTCAATGACTAGTGCAGTAATTGTCTGCAAAGAGTTAGTTTTTCTCAGAATTAAATAGAGCTCCACCACCCACTCGTTCATTCCTTCGTTCATTCATCCGAGTCGTCCCTCACCTTTCGCACCCAGCTGTGTCGTGACGCAGCTGTTGGGTTCTGGGAGCAGACGGGAGGGGACAGGCCCTGGATGGGGTGGTGGCGAGGGAGGCGGGAGGTTTATCGGTTTCCTAGAGCTGCTGCATCAAAGTACCAAAAACTGGGCAGCTTAAAACGATAGAAACTTACTCTCTCACGGTTCTGGAGGCCACAAGTCCAGAATCAAGATGGCAGCAGGGCATCTGAAGGCTCCAGGGGAGAATCTGTCCATGCCTGTCCCTTAGCTTGTGGGGGTGGTGGCAATGCTTGGTGTTCCTTGCTTGTAGGGACGTCACTGCTCTCTCTGCCTTGGTCGTAGTACGGCCTTCTCCCTGTGTGTCTCTGTGAGTCTCTTCTTACAAGGACAGCGTCATATTGGATTAGGGTCCACCCTAACGACGTGGTCTTAACTTGATCACAGCTGCAAAGACCCGATTTCCACATAAGGTCACATTCCCAGGTACCCGGAGTTAGGACTGCAGCAGATCCATCACGGGGTACACAGCTCAGCGCACACAGGGGGACTTGGAACCTGAGTGTTCTCACTTCCAGTCCTTTGGCCCAACACTCAGAGGCGCCGGCACCTTCGTGTGCTCAGCCCCTTCCGCCCACACGCCTTCAGGAAGGAGGAGCTCCCTGCCGCTGGGATGGCTGCCTTCATTTCTTCCTCTTCTTCCGTCCCCCCCCAGCAGGGCATAGTGGGGCTGAGTGCTGGCTCTTGGGATGCAGAGCAGGGTTCTAATCACGACCCTGTGAGTTAAAGCTGTGTGTCCTAGCACTTCGAAAGAGCATACAAAAGGTGCTCATAACTATTTGTGGAATAAATGAAAGATCTTGGGCAAGGCTTCTCCGAGCCTCAGTTTCCCCAGCAGTAAAACTGAGATGGCAAAGTCCCTGCCTCAAGGAGGTCGGGAAGATTAAATGGGATGATTAATCTGACGCACCTAATCCAGTTGGCATAGACTAAATGCTCAAGAAGTGGTAGCTAGAGCAATCATAACATGCCATAGCATAGCACTGGATAATATTAATAGGTGATTAATATGATTAATAAATAATAATAGTAATCCTCCAAAGACAGTTCTCTTCACTTGAAATAAAAGCTCAAGTCCTTACTATCTCCAGCTAGTTCTACATGTTGCCCCTGCCACTGCCCAGCCTCCCGGCCCTGCTCCCTGCTCAGGCGCAGTGACCCCTCATCGTTCCTCAGACGCCCCACGTACCTTCCCGTCTCAGGGCCTTGGCCTTCGCTTCCCCTCTGCCCGAAAATTCTTCCTTCCGAGATCTGCACACTTCACTCCCTCGCTTTATTTAGATCTTCGCCCAAAGGTCACTTCCTCATAAGGCCTTCCCTGAGTGCCCTATTTTGAGTCCCATTTGCATCACTTCCTATCTCTTATTCTGTTTTGTTTCTCTACGTGTAGCGCTTTTTACTGCCGACGCTATGTATTTGTTTATTCTCTCTCTGCGATCACCCAGGATGCTTGCTCCACCGGAAGGCCTTGTCTCATCCGTTCATATCCCTGGCACTGGAATAGCGCCCGGCACGTCTTTGGTACTCAGCAACTATTTATGAGATGAATGGCCTCATAGAGCAGTCTCACACCTGTCCAGCGCTGTCCTTCACCACCTGTCTGTCTGGCTCCTTGCAACGACTCTAGGAGGTGGACAAACCAAGGATTAGTTCATGGGTAAGACAAATGAAGCCCAGAGAGGTGAAGCGATTGGCCTAAGCTCGTGGAACTGCTTAATGGGGAAGCTGGGATTCAGGCTCCGGTCTGCGACTCTGCATGTCTCATGCAGACCTGAGCAGCCCTCAAGGATTCACTGCTTATCCCCTTATTGATGAGCATGTCCCATAGGTCTTAGTCTTCTTTCCCTTGGGATGCACTGGACAGGTACCCTTGTCTCCTCCTGTCAAGGGGGTCTTCTCATGAGAACCCGGCAGAGGGCGCTAGAGAGACAGCATCCTGATGGGTGACCTTGCTCTGTCTCATCCTCCTGCACTAACTGCAGGGGAGGTAGGGTCGGGGCGCAGTCTGTGGGTCTGGGCGGCCTGGATGTCTTCAGTGTCCTGTTTCGGCTCCTCTCTGCTCTGTGTTCAGGGGTGTCCTTGGCCAGAGGCCTGGCTTTCCTTGTTGGAAGTCTGTCTCTAAATCTAGGGAGAAAAGTGGGAAAGAGCTCTGTAAGTTCCTGTCCTCTAGGCCCCACTACACAGCTGACATTCGAAGCTGCTCCCCACCGTCACCTCCAGCAGAAGATGAAGGACGTCCCGTCATTCAGAAGTGTCAGGTGGACTCTGTCCTGGTGTAGAGTAGAAGTAAGACGGGAGCTCAGTAGAGCTAGGAGAAAGGCAAAGCTGGTTTCCCCACCTCTGCCTGGAAGGTCCTCCCTCAAGGGTTCACCAGGAAAGCGACTCTTCCTTGAAGTCTCAGCTTCTCCAGGATGTTTCCTTCTCTCAGCTCAGGCCTCAGTGAGGCCCATTGCAGGCCCCACGGCCACACCATCTGCTCCTGTCTGTCTCCCCCGCTCGGCAGTGGGCTCCTTGGGAGGAGAAACCATGTCTTACTCATGCTGTGTCCCAGCCCCTAGCACAAGGCTGGCACAGACAAGGTGCTCACTATTTTTTTTGAGGAAGATTGACCCTGAGTAACCACTGCCAATCCTTCTCTTTTTGCTGAGGAAGACTGGCCCTGAACTAACATCCAAGTCCATCTTCCTCTACTTTATACGTGGGATGCCTGCCACAGCATGGCTTTTTGCCAAGCAGTGCCATGTCTGTACCTGGGATCCGAACCGGCAAACCTGGGGCCTCTGAGAAGTGGAACATGGGAACTTAACTGCTGCGCCACCAGGCCGGCCCCAAGGCGGTCACTTTTGAATGTACAAGTGAATAAATTAACATAATGTGGGGAACTGGGTGCTCGGTAATTGGATTGGAAGCATTGGGAAAGGCAAGGTTGGGGCAGCCACACATGAAGAAAATTCAAGTCACTTCAACAGGCTCTTATTGATAACTACCCTGTCTTTAGTTTCTGTCTAGTGGGCTGGTACAGATAGCACAAAACTATAATGTAGTGTATCGACTATAGTCACTCATTCAGAGTTACCATAAAGTCAAGGAAGCTGAAGTTTCAAGGCCATCCTCTTACACAGGATTCTTTCTGGACCCTGAACCTAATTTTGTAAACTTTAAGAGCCGCACCTTCTCCCCTACCCGACAATTGTATAAAATTCAGGTTCCACAAAACCTGGATTCATTGTTGCATTCGATACCTATTTCTTGATCCCTAATGTGTGTCCAGCACTGTGCGAGGCACTGGGAACAGAGCAATGAATAAGGGCGACACTTCCAGCCTCTCGAAGCTCTTCTCAGGACAGTGGAAAGACAGGCAGTGGGCAGGGGGTCGCAAGGCACAGAGTAAGTGCTAGATGGGGAAGAGGAGTACGGAGGGGCCCCATAGTGGACAGTTACGCTTTTTTGGGCTGTCCACCCAAATCCCTCCCAAAGTTCTTTTTTTTCTTACACTGTAAGTCTTGGTGGGAGTCAGGGCCTGCTTGGCACAACAGGGGCCCAAAAGGTGAGATCCTTTTCTGCTAAAGGCAACCAAGGGGTGGATGCACCGTCCAAGCTCAGTTAGCCATGGGCTTCGGCCTGGCCCCGGTGTTACTGGGGAATTTTTTCAGACCCAGGCAGGGGGAGCTCTGGGCTTTGGGGGGTGGTTACAGGGTTGCCCGGGCCAGACTGCTGCTGTGGTCCAGGCTCCCCAGCTTCCCATAGACCCATTTGTTTCTAAGCCTGGGTCTCTGGGCTTCCTGCAGATCCCGTAAGTGGGGTTCCGATAAATTCTGTTTCTCCTTAGTTTGTCCAGAGTGAGTTTCTCTTCTTTCCAACCAGGAACTCTGATTGGTACAAACTCCTACCTCAGCCTTGGCAGAGGGAGGCAAGCATTCCAAATCTGGGACATTTATGCTAATACCTGAAGGATGAGTGAGAATAAGCTAGATGAAGGGGGATGAGGAGCTGGGACTAGTAAGGAGAGCAATGTTCTAGGCAGAGGGAACAGCCTGTGCAAAGGTCCAGAGACAAGGAGATGAAAACAATGTAGACAGCCAAAGGGCAGAAGACTCAGGGCCTTGATTGTTAGATTGAGCACTTTGAATTTTACTCAGAGGAAAACTAGGAGCCACTGAAGGGCACAGGGAGGACTAGACATTTAAGAAAGACCACTCTGACTGCAATGTGGAGAATGGAACCAGGAGAGCGAGATAAGGGCAGGGGGAACATCTGGAAGTCTCCTGCCGTAATCCGGGCATGAGGGGATCGTGCCTGGTCTAGGCCGGTGCAGCAGAGAGAGAGGGAGAGAGGTGAAAGGCTTCAACAGCCACCATGGAAGTCAGTGGAGAGAACGTGGTGATTGGTCGAGAGGGAGGAGGGGTCCAGGATCACTCATGTCTTTGGCTTGGGCGGGGGGCGTATCATTCAGAACCAGGAGAGGAGGAAATGTTGGTTTTGGAGAAGGAGTTTAGTGATGGACATGCTGAGTTTGAAGTGCTTGGGGCCCATTCAGATAAAATGTCCAGGAGCTGGACGGATGTGCAAGGTCGACATTCTGGAAAGAGGTTTGGACTCAAGATAGAGATGTCGTCAGCACGTGGATGGTGACTGGAGCTACAGGAGTGAGTGAGTGTTGAGGGAGGAAAGCAGAACAGTAACACTCATGAACCAGGCTAGAGAAGAGAATCTTAGGAGGAGCCTGAGGAGGGGCCGAGGGGAAAACGAGGGAGGAAGGGCCGACAGGTGAAACAGGAAGTCTGAGAAATGCCTATGAGAGTTAGCTGGTGCCCGGAAGCTCGGGATAGAAGTGATTTTTGTGAGAGCAGTCTTGGAAAAGCTCCTGAGAAGGTAAGATGTGAATTCACATATTCTGAAGGACGGCTATGTGCGAGGCCATGCTGGTGACTCACACACGACCTCATTTAGTTCTCGTGGCGATCCTTAAGCATCAGCCCCATTTTCAAAAGAAAGACTCAGAGAAATGAAATCTCTTGCCTAAGGTCACACTGCAACACGTGGTAGGAATGAACCTTAGATCTATCTAGAACACAAATCTGAGTTCTTCCCACTACTTCTTCCTTCCATGTCCAGATCCTGCCGTGTGGGATAATTGTATTTTATTTGTGACTTGGTTCAACAAATATTTGAGTGCTGACTGTGTGCTAGGCACTGTTCTGGGTGCTGGGGATACAGCAGTGAACAAAACAGTCAATATTTTCAATCTCACCTTCTGGAGGGAGTCACATATAAATAGGCAGTACAGTTATCCCTCAGCATCCACAGACATTGGTTCCGGGACCCCCATGGATACCACAATTTGCGGATGCTCAAGTCCCTTATATAAAATGGTGTAGAATTTGCATAGAACCTACGCACATGCTCCTGTGTCCTCATCTCTAGGTTACTTATAATACCGAATACAATGTAAATGCTATGTAAATAGTTGTTACACTCTATTGTTTAGGGAATAATGACAAGAAAAAAAGAGTCTGTACGGGGCGGGCCCTTGGCCGAGTGGTTAAGTTTGCGCATCTGCTTCCGGTTTCGCCGGTTCGGATCCGGGTGCGGACATGGCACTGCTCATCAGGCCAGGCTGAGGCGGTGTCCCACACAGCACAACCAGAGACACTCACAACTAGAATATACAACTATCTACTGGGGGGATTTGGGGAGAAAGAAAAAAAAGAAGATTGGAGGGGCCGGCTCCATGGCCAAGTGGTTAAGTTCGCGTGCTCCGCTGCGGCGGCCCAGGGTTCGGATCCTGGGCGCGGACATGGCACCGCTCGTCAGGCCACGTTGAGACGGCGTCCCACATCCCACAACTAGAGGGACATGCAACTAAGATATACAACTATGTACGGGGGGCTTTGGGGAGATAAAGCAGAAAAAATAAAAACGATTGGCAGCAGTTATTAGCCCAGGTGCCAATCTTTAAAAAAAAAAAGAAGATTGGCAACAGATGTTAGCTCAGGTGCCAATCTTAAAAAAAACAGAGTCCGTACATGGTCAGTACAAGAACAACCATTGCAGGCCTTCCATCCGAGGTCAGTGGAATCGGCGGATGCAGGACCCGCAGGTACAGAGGGCCAACCAACTGTGTGTCATATAATAAGGGTAGACGTGGAGACACCTAAAGCAGGAAAGAGGAGTGGGGAGTATGTGTTCAGGATTACATTTATAACGGGGTAGACAGTGGGACCTTACTACTAAAAGTGACATTTGAGCCAAGACATGACGAAGGGGAGAAAGCCAGTTGTCTGGTTATGGGGGAGGGGGAGGGGAGATAGAAAAAAGCCCTCAAATGCTTGGCACATCCCAGGAGCCGCAAGGAGGCCAGGGTGGTGGGAGCAGAATGAGCAAGGCCTGCCGTGGGGAATTCGATCAGAAAAATAGGGTGTAGGGTAAGGACAGGGGAGAGAGGAGACTAGATCAGAAGGAGCACTGTGTAGACCAAATTTAGTATTTTGACTTACAAATCTAGGTGGAATGTCATTTGGTGGCATTTATGCTATTTTTAAGGATTCTTCTTCATCTGGCTGTGTGTCGAGGAGACTGAAAGGAGAGCCAGGGCTAAGCAGAGTCCAGTTAAGGCTACTGTGGTATCTAGGTAAGAAATCAGAGCGGCAGTTGAAGAGGCGAGTTGTGCAATTTCTAACGTTTTGAAGGGAGAGCCAACAAGATTTGATGATAGATTGGACATACGGTTTGATAGCTAAACTAAGAATGTGGGGTTGTTTTTGAGATCAGGCATTTGCCATTGGAGACGGAGAAGCCACAGCCAGTGACGTAGAATGAAAACCAAGTGAGGTGTCACGAGCCAGCTGGGTGGCACAGCGGTTAAGTTTGGACATTCTGCTTCAGTGGCATGGGGTTCGCTGGTTCGGATCCCAGCTACAGACCTACGCACTGCTTGTCAAGCCCTGCTGTGAGGGCGTCCCACATATAGAGGAAGATGGGCGCAGATGGTAGCGCAGGGCCAACCTTCCTCAGCCAAAAGAGGATTGGTGGCGGATGTCAGCTCAGGGCTAATCTTACTTGGAAAAAAAAACAAAGTGAGGTGTCCTGGAAAGAAGTGAGCAGACTCAGAACGATACAGTGTTAGATGCTGCCTACAGGATACAGCACTGGAGCTCCTGATTTTCAGGTTTTGGTATAGGATTGGAGTGCAGCCTATTTGAGAATGGGAAAAAGGGAACTAGCAAAATGAATGGACAGCTCTTCCAAAGTTTTGGTCCGTATACAGGAGAGCACAAATTTGGGGCGCTAAAGACGTGGAATCTTACTAGCAGCATTACGTTATTCATACAAGGTACATGCTGAGTACATCCAAATATTGTTGCTCCACAGCACGGTAGGTTATAAAATATACTGTTCAGCGTCCCTGGAACAAGACAGCAGTGTTCTTGAGGGGTCAGAATGAGTCGTTCTTGAAGCATGAGGGGAGGGAGGTACGTGTAACCGGATGAGACTGGCTTCTGCAACCACGGACAAACCACTGCACGACAGATCTAACACCAAGACTTCCTTTGGCCCGACTCCCTAGCTGAATTGGGATTATTCTGGCTGTAAAATGAAGCCGAGA